TGCCAATAGTGTGGTTCCGCGCGCTTAGGAACTGTGAGCATTCAGAGTGATATTTTAACACCCAAAGTGAATTATTTTGTACATTTAATTTCAAGTGTGTTCGTTTGCTCAATTTACTAACTCGAAGTGTACTTGACACAGAGCTCAATTCAGTAATTCTGTAATTCAGTAATTCTCATTTGTGATATTTCCCTTTTGGGGTTAAATTGTACCAAACTTGAGATCAACTTTATTGTGTAATACTTTGCAACTTGAAATTTAAACTATTTCTACTCTTTTATTTTACTTTAATTAAATTCTTTATATTTTTTTCTACTTCAGTTGTTTTATTTATTCAAAATAGTTTATTTTTGACCAGTAAACTTGTGTGAGCATAGATTTTATTCTAAGTAACTTTCTAAAAGAGAAGTATTTCATTCAGTGACGCCAGAGGGGCCTTAATACCACATCTCAGGTACTAGATTATTGAACCTGGTGCTGCTCCTTACTAAACCATTATAAAAGAAGGTAGGGGGCGCTACATAAACATGACGGATAGAATCAAAAAGACATATAGGCTAACTCTGATAGAGTGATGTATATCTTAATAATTAGCTATTTACAGTCCAACGTCTGCATATCAGTCATGTTACAGTGCTTGTTGTATCCTTATAATAATGGATACAGCATTGATGTGCATTCTGGCGATAACATATGAATTGCAGGCTATTCAAAAAAATAAATAATTAAATAAATAGATAAATAAAGCTTTGAAGTTGCCGGTATAGACGAAAACATTGCGGATGAATTTAGACATTAAAGTTTTTACATTGTAATGTAATGTAGGTCATCGTGTAGATATGTAACGTAGGTCAAAAACCCTTGCTACATGTATTGCGTTAGACTTCACTTAGACCAAGTCATTAGACTAAGTCGCTGTGGATAAAAGCATCTGCAAAATGATAAAATGTAAATAAAAATATGAATTTATTCGAGACCTACTACAGCGCATGTGCGTAAAATATCCACTACGTAGTGGATATAGTCCAGCTACGTCATCGTGCTGCAGGCTGCAGCGAGGACAGACTCGGAAAAGAGGAAGTATGGTCACCCTATCTACGGAGTCTGAGAAGAAAAACAAGAGGTTTCATATGATTCTGCTACCTGCAACATGAGAACCAGGTATAGCTTGTAGCTATGTTTTATGTTATGTGAATTTTTAGTAGTAGGCCTAGGCTAATTGCTGTTTTCATTATCATTAAAGTGACTATTTCTGTAAATAATCAATTACATTATTACTTTTCTTTTGTTTGTTCATTTGAATAGTTGTTTGAACACTTTCTAATTGAAGCATTTCTAATTTTAGATTGCAGTTCTGTGTCTGTCCCATTGGAAGTGTGCTATATGTCATATCGTGTCCCTGTACGCACTCCAGTCTAGTTGTAATACACTGATCTATGATTGTATTTGCCTTTATTTTGTACTGTAATGAATTCTAAACTACTATGGGGAAGATTATTTTAAAACAGTGGCCTGTAATTGTGCCCTGAAAAGTTGTAGTACAGTAATATAAAGGCTTTTTAGATGCAGTCGAGTTTGGTGCAGTGTCATTGAACCACATTGCTGCAGTTTAACAGCTCAGCAAATCAATAACTTGAGAAGTGAAGACCCTGGCTGCATCATTGCATAGTATGGGAAACAAGACACCACAGACAAGAATAAGCTATATCCTCCAGTACAGACTTGTACTAATGGGGTGAAAATAGTGGAGATAGCGGCAGCGTATACATAGTGCAAATAGTCACTTTTGTCATTTTAGTCATTTTTTGTTGTTATTGCTGTAAATAGATATAAAATACATGTTTTTTTTTTTCCCCAGGTGCTGCTGCTTCTGTATCTGTGTGTTTGCAGTATTGTTAAACAAAGGTAAGTGTAGCCATTACCATTGGATGTGAAATTATATATATATATATATATATATATATTAATAGGAAGGAGGTGACATTTGCCTCTAAGAATTTATTTACAAAGGCTTGTCTCTCATTTTCAGCATGTCTGCAGGTCACTATTGAGGGTAAAGTTGGAGGCTCTGCTGTCTTGCCCTGTTCTACTATTGACAATGGCCTTAAAAATGAAGATATAACGGTTTACTGGAGACATAATAGCAGCCAAAATGTTTATGACATAATTGAGGGTAAAGGGTCAGTGGAGAAGCAGGACCCGGCATACAAGAACAGAGCTGGAACCTTCCCTAATGAGTATATGAAAGGAAACTTCTCGCTCAAACTCAACAACATTCAATATAATGATGCCGGAAAGTACGTCTGCTACATCACAAAGGCATATCAAAATCCAAGCATGCAGCTCTTTGTCAAAGATATATGAAATATAATAAACATTTTTTTAAAACAAATTTGTATTTATTTAAATATTTCCAACTTTAATACAGTTTGTTAATGACTGATTAACCCTATAAAGCCTATCTTATCAAATTTTTAAGGCCTCTAAACTGAAAAACCTGCTGTACACAATCTACTACATGCCTTTAATGATAGTTTATTCAAGTAAAAGGTCTTTTAGTATAATTGTAAAAACATCCACCTTCAGGTCATAGTTCCTGTCTTTTTGCTTGCTTAGGCTTGAGTTTCTGCCCTTTTACAAAATTAATCAGAAGTGCCCCTCTCAACAATTATGAACAATAATATTTACAGTGTTGGGGGTAACGCATTACAAGTAACGTGAGTTACGTAATCAGATTACTTTTTTCAAGTAACTAG